TTGTCAAATTGGTTTGAGAAATCTGTATTAAACAGAACCAAACTTAACTTGACTGTGGTCGTTCCCAGAGGCTTTACTATAGTAATATAGGAAGCACTGCATCTCTGAGAGAATAATAATATTTAGTATTGGATCCTGGAAGTATTTGTTTTTTCCTAAAGTTATATATTTTCTGTGTTTGTACTAGTATGCCCCAGAGGTCCACCCTTCTCCCAGAGGAAGGATGACTGAGAGGGCAGTAACAGCAGAGAGCTCTTTAAGATGTCTGCGTTTTCTCTCTCTCAAATGCAAGAGCCTTGGGAATGCTTACTAGTATTTAGCTTTAGTCTATGACCTTGTAAGCATGTTTACAGAATCAGACATTCTAGTAAGATTCCCGAGTTTATTTTCATCAGTTAATCTTGAAAAGCAGGAAATAAATGCAAGAATTAAATAAAACTTTAACAAACAGACCCCATACACACACCTTTTAGTCAGAACAACTAGAAAAGGAAGAGCAATACTTTGGCTCATGCTCTCACTTGCCCCCTGTCGCATGGCTGAGCTGGCTGGTTCATTTTGTCTAGGCTTCAGGCGGGTCTGATTGCTTTAAAATTTAGTTGATTTTTTCTTTTTCTTTTTTGTAGCTAAAACCTGTTTCCTAATCATGAGTACTGCCCTCAAGCCTGACCTGGCAATTTGGTACCATGAGCAGTTGGTCACCTGGGGAATTTATTCATTTGGATACCAATACATGTCATTCCTATTAATAGAAGAGAATGATCCTAAAAACATAAGACTTTAAAACTCCCACTTTCATGTATAGCTGCCAAGTTGCTCACACCACAGTTGCAGTCCAGAGTGGTGAAGATGGCGCCTGGGGCATGAAAGCCTGGTATGAAGGAGCACAAGCTCTCTGGTCACATTGCCAGAGGTCACATTCTGCTTCTGCATTTTTCTGTTTGATAAGGATATACGAGGGTCTTGGGAGAATTAAATGAGCTAATATCTTTAAAGATCTTAGTGTTTACACATAGTAAGTACTCAATACATATTCGCTACTATGGTGCACTTATTCTAAAAAGTATTTAAGGTGGGCCATAGTAATATCTAAAACACAATGCCAATGAGAAATAGGGAAGAAAAATTTAAAGGAAAGCTGGGAATGAAATGGAGCCAAGAATATGGCTACTGCTAAAACTGGACATATCATTAAATCTTCACAGGTATGTCCTTAGTGCCAATCACATCGCTTTTTATATACTGGTGCTGAATATATATTTGGCAAATTTATTTAATTAAATATAAATTATGCTTGCTATATGATTGGATCAGTAATTTTATCCTGAGAGCTTTTTAGCAGGAAAAAAACACACACACACAACTAGTTACTCAATAAAGTGTCTTTAAGATTAAAAATAAACACATGCTCAGGATAAATAAAGCATATTCTGATATTAAGACTGAAGAATAATTTCTCCTGAGGGTCCTTATAATCAGGAAACTATGTAATGGACTGAATAACATGTATAAATGCTTTAAAATTTAATGAAATGGCAAAATTTTATAGAGCTATTTCTTTTATTGTTTAAGCCCAATTAAAGCTAACTCTGGCATGAATTTCTCTTATTTCACTAGACATTTCTTCTCACTCTCTGTGTCTGGGTCATTTTTCTTTTCCCAACTTCTAAACCAGTGTTTCTCAGCTCCTGCTCCCCACTGGGATCACCTGGGGGCTTTTAAAAAATATAGCTCCCTGAACCCGACACAGAACAATTAAATCATAATATTTACAAGTTGGGCTTGAACATTAGTATTTTTTAAAAAACAGAAGATTCTAATGCTGTCAAGGTTGAGGATGAGTGCTCAGAAGATTGGAATGAGCCCAGAGCTTCCCGTTTCATTCCAGAGCCCTTCCATGATCAAATCTGGGCTTCATCTTCTTCCTCATTTCCTACCACTCTCACCCTCCATCTCTGACCCGCAGCCACTACTGCCTTTTGCATTTCTAGAATATTTCATACCTGCTCATGTGTGTGTTTGCACTTGGTTTTCCTTCTACCTGGATGCTCTTTTTGAAGTTATTTACATAATTTGTTTGCTCACTTCTTCCGAATTTCTGTTCAAATGTCCCTGACCACTTTATTAAAATATCATCCATGTTATTACTCTCTATCCACTTACTCTGCATTCTTTTCTTCTTCTCACTTATTACTATGTACAATTTTATTATCTACATATATAAAAGCCTAAGTGACCGGATGACCGGCTGATAGCTATGACATGCACTGACCACCAGGGGGCAGACTCTCAATGCAGCAGCTCCCACAGCGGGAGTGCTGCTCAGCTGACAGATGAGCACCAGACACCGGGCTCACAGCTGGTGAGTGTAGCTGCGGTGGTGCGAGCCTCTCCTGCGGACACTCCCTTTGTGTGCCTGAGTAGTGGCAGCTGGCGGCAGGTGCAGTGGGGCCAGGATGAGCAGGAGCAGCCCAGACTCGGGCTCCTCCCCAGTCACCTGCTGCTTCACACACTACTTTGTGCTGTGTGGGATCGATGTGGACAGCAGGCTGGAGCCCGATGAGCTGGTAAGGCTGGACTGTTGCAGTGTGGAGGTCCACTGGTCCCTGCAGGCCAGGCCGAGGGACCCCACGTGTACCGGGCCTCTAGTGTGTGTGTGTGTGTGTGTGTGTGTGTCTGTATTTGCTCATTTGTATATTTTCTTTGTTGAATAAATGCATCCACAATTTCAATTCAATAATTTTTGGCCAAAATTGAGGCAGATTTTTAAAATATCTACAGACATTGATGGTCAGGATTCAGTCAGTTGTCCATAAAACTCTTTCTCTCCAAGGAACAATAGGTGTTTAAAGGACTGAGCTTGAAACAATTTGACTAGTTAAAAGTGAAACAATTGGCCCAAAGTGTTTGGAAGACTGCTAAACAGCAAGTCAAACCAGCCAGGTCTTGACCAGATAAAGACAGTAAAGCCTGCCCCATTTAAAACATGGACAGAAGGCTTAGACCTGAGTGTTCTGCAACAGTATCTAAAATTTAAACAGTTTAATCCAGAAAAAGCAGCTGAAGATGGGATAGAAAGCATGCAGTAACTGGAATTCAGAGTCAAGAGAGTGCGGTATTATTTTAAGACTCATTGAGTGCTGTTCTGTTGATGAGTACTGAGTTTTCCTCAATGATTTTTTTTTCCCTTTAAACCAGGCCATAGTGTGAGTTAACGTGTTGGGAATGACTTAGTTTTTCCTTATCTAGAGAAAGTGACAAAAGAAACCCTACACATGAGATTCCAGCCCTTACTGGGTTCGCCATTTTGCTGTATTTGCTGATGCAGGCACAAGTAGGTATTTGACGTTTTCTAGGCTATCATGATCTCTATAACTTATGCAAAACTGCAGAAACAAATAAGTTTCTTAAGACTCTACTTATAAATTTTTAGCTGGGTCTGTGGAATGCTTAGAAATATTAGGTTCTTGCCAAGGCTGTTATCATCTGAGCAATAGGACGTGAAACTGAGTGAGGGGGAAAAAGTCATCAGAGGGTCAGAGATACACATCATTCTAAGGAGTAGCTGTTGCAACTTGTTAGTACTGGTTACCTATGGAAAAAGCTGAGGAGATAGAATGGATTAGGTGCAGCAAGCCAGAGGATTTGTTGAAGAAAAGTAGTGGGATACCAGGACTGGAAATAGGAATGACAAGAGTTCTCACTATGTCAATTAAGACAGGTTAAATGAGAATATAGTTAGCAGGCGTCAGAAGTTCAGACAAAACATAATCAGTCACCGAAGTAGTAATCAGTAAAAGTTTATTGTTTACACACCGAAAAGATAGTTTGCAAACTAGGAGCCCTCAAACCAAAATATGGATGAGGCTCAGGAGTATATTGTTCTAAGACAGCTTATATTAGCGAGAAAGCAGGGACTGTTTATTCTTCACAGTGATTGGTTATAGGATTAGAATTTTTTTAAATGATAGGGAATTGGTCAATGGTTACCTCATATGAACCTTGGGAAACAGTTCAAATTTTGTTTATGATTTTTAGAGGCATAAGCAAGAAATGATCCAGGAAGTCATTCTCAGAGATCTGTTGTTGCCGAACATCTTGTTATTCTGTCCATTTCTTTGCTGCCTTTCTCCCTGTGGTGTGTCTTCTAGTTTTCCTAAAAATAGAGACTATGCCATTTTTGTTGTATGCTATGCAGAAAGGGAAGAGAGAGAGTACTGTCTCACACAGCCATGTTCATACCGGGAGTCCTTCCTTTGACCCATCATCACTGCCTTTCTCTCACTCTTCAATGGCTCTCACTTAAAGCACGGAAATCCCGCAGTCTGCTAACCTCTCTCATTCATACGTCACTTTGTTAAAGCATGTATGAATGCTTTCCCTTATAGCCTTCTTCATCATTTCTTCAACACATAATTCAAAGTTGGTTCATTTTTCCTTGCCATTCTTTTGCCTTGGAATTCCTTTCTTTCCCTTCCCTGATTGGTGTACTACTACTCATGCTTTAAGAACTAACAAAGTATATTACCTCTTTTAGGAACCCTTTTTTGACACCTCCTCAAGATGAATGTGGTACCTGCCAAGATGAGGCAGAATTAATCTCTAACCTGTCCTGCTACAAGATGTTGCCCCATTTTTAGTGCACTTGTCTTGCTGTTTTCAGTATTTATAAATTTTATTATCAAGCCAATGAGTGACTGTGTATTAACTTGTCAATGCAGAACTTTCAAGTGCTAGATTTCTAGGATCCTACTTATAGCTGTCCTATATGGTCAGCACATACCCTCATTTGGGCTCATTTGATTTTCCACTGGTCAGTTGAAGGATACAGTGATATGGTGCATCTATATTTTCGTATCTAGCTTTTGTTTTTAAAGTGATTTAATTATTTCAAAGCAATTTTTCACACTTAGGATGTAACTGAAACTCCTCTAGAATTGGAGCACTCATAAATTATGAATAAGTTAAGTAATCATTAATGGAATTCTTCTGCATTCCAGGTGATGCAACAGTGACAATAGCTCACAGATATACCCCCAAAGAACAACTGAAGATCCATACTCAGCTGGCAGATATTGTCATAGTCGCTGCAGGTAAGTCTTTAGTGGGTGTTATTTGGTGGAATATCATCAGCAGAGTAATTCCTGCCCTAATTGCCAGCATGTCCGTAAGAACCACTTCTTCAGAGAATTAAGATATGTATGATTAACTTCCGACAACTGGATTCTGTCTCTTGGCAATCATCATATTGGTCATATTGGTCCACTGTGCCTGTATTAGCATTTGTCACTTCATTATAGAAAACCTGAATAACCTTTGGAATGAAATATTAAGCACAAGAACAGAGTACACTTTGCCAATTCTTTTGACAACATGATTGCTTCTAAACATGAATGAATTATGGGGAGACTGGTAGGAAATGCTGTTGAAGGGATAGCCATGGCTGGTACATGTCGGAATTTGTAGGCCATGGTAAAAACTTTGATATAAGCTACGATGGCTGAGATCAGGAGATTGACATGGTCTGGCATACGTTTTTAAAAGATTACTTACACTGAGTCAAGAATTGACTTTAGAGAGACAAGAATGGAAACAGAGAACAGTTATTATACTTTCATTTAATGGGTCTAGCTTTTTCTAATTTGTTTTACATTTGAATATACAAAATAATTCTACCCTTTACTTCTGCCTTTACCCTTTACTCTCGCCACATAGTATTTCTACGGTGCAGACACTGTGACTGTTCTTTATCCAAGGCTGGAATGAGAGCCCTTTTAATTTTATCAATTAGATATTATTGATAATTTCTACACTTTACAGTTGAATTGCTGAGTATTTACAAATTATGAAGGGAGAGTAAACGTTTCATAATAAATTGAGTTTAATGGAAAATAATAATAATTTAAATTAGTTTTAACAGAATTTAATTCACTTTCTTATTCTATAGGCCCTTTATAGGAACTCAAAATATATATGTGATAACTTTAGATGGAGTAATTTGCCTCTTCATAGAGTATAAATAGAAATATTCCCATTTTAGAATCAACAATAATCTTCTAACTACAGTTCCTGTTTTTCTAAAAAATTATATTCAGGGGGTTTACCAGATGTAAGAGTTTGAGCTCAATTGACAGAAGTAAGATGGATGTTTAGAGAGGCAATACACTTTGTTAGATCACAGACATTAGGTGAAATACTGCTGCAGCAACTGATAGAGTCATGCAAGATAAATATTACATTGACTTTTTTTTAGAAACACTTGAAGTCACACACAAGACTCAGAATTTGGTGAGGAGAGAGGAATTTGAGTGGTCGTCATTGCTAATCTCTAATTTTAGACAAAATGAAATGTTCATTATTATTAAAATTTGATTTGATTCTGAGGTTAACAATATATAAAGAATATTTCACAGTTGATCTTAGTTCTCATTTATCAATTATAATATCAAATGCATATTTTCTTTATTGAATGCATATTTGGAGCAAAATCCCTCAGTATGCATTCATACTCATGTTTTTCGTGTTATGAGAAATGACAAATGGGTAATTACCATCCTCTTTCAAGAACCACGGATATTCTGTTGTGACTAAATCAAACTTTATGTCACAAGTCATTATGCCAACACTGTCATCATCCTTGAGTTTCTCATATAGACTCACTGTATTGGCACTGTGATCAAGGAGTTAAAAAATAAGAAAGGAAGGGGAAAATAAAGGGAAAAGGGACCAATTCTACATAAAGTTAACAAAAGAGGAGCCTGGAGGTACCCAGGTCTCTAGGTGATGAAGCAGTATTGAGGCTCTATATCTCAGCCATCCTACTCAGGGTATCCTATTACCACCAGAGGGCGCCAGTCCCGTGTGCAGGCTATTTTAGACAGCCAGTTGGCCACGCACAGTCTTAATCCTGGAAGGAAGACAATTTTGAGTGAAGGCAGTGCAAACAGGTATTGTTCCTTGCTTTGTATTCCAGCTCTAGTGCCCCTAACTCGATACAAATGTATGCTGAATTCTGGAATACAGCTCTGTATGTAGCCCTGCAATCATCCTTAGGAAATAAACATCTGTGTAGTGGGAAATTTCAGGGAAGAAAATTGAGAATTTGTAAGAAATAACTAAAGATTACTACATTTTTACTTCTTTAATAATCACCTGGAGAATTTGAGGATAAAATACGTAGAGATTGGTAAATTATAGTGGAATTGTAGGGAAGGCATAAAAAAACAACAACACACTAATAATGAATAACCACATCATGCATTCTGTGTGGGAAATAAACACATGTGATTAGCAGTGGGTATTACAAAAGGATATAATGACCTCATGGCAGAGGTATTGATTATTGTCATAACTAGAATGTCAGCATATATGGAAGCAGTACCATCTCAAAGTTAGGAGGAGTAGAGGAGGAGTAGTGGGTGATGTATCAGGCACATTGATAATGTCTGGAATGACAATAAAGAACGTGGTGAAGAAACCTTGGAATGGGTTTGCAGAAGAAAAGTATAAGAGGAAATGGCATGTGATGATTCTGGTGCATGACTAAAATTAGCTTATGTTCATATTAATCTCACTTCTCCAGTTTCTCAAACTTTCATAGGTTTAACTATATAGGACTTACCTTTAAAGCATCTCACCAAAATTTGAAAAGTAGACTAATATAGAAGTTCAAATTTGAAAACCAAATCCTGTCAAACTATGCTGTTAGAAATAAAAGGCTCTAGGCTCCTACTCAATGCTATACCCCTCTGCATTTTTCCCAGAGAGAAATAATCTGTTTCTAGGAACTTTGCTGTACCATGGTTATAACACATAACTATATATATATATATATATATATATATATATATATATATATATATCTAAGCAACTGTTATGACTGGCCGACCGGCCGGTAGCTATGATGCACACTGACCACCAGGGGGCAGGTGTTCAATGCAGAAGCTGCCCCCTGGTGGTCAATGAACTCCCACAGCCAACCTCCTGCAGTCCCTCCCCTCAGCCAGCCCCAATTATCCCCGATCACCAGCCAGGCCAAGGGACCCCACCCATGCACAAATTTGTGCACCAGGCCTCTAGTTCAGTGGTTCTCAACCTTCCTAAAGCCGCAACCCTTTAATACAGTTCCTCATGTTGTGGTGACCCCCAATTTCATTGTTACAAATTGAACATAATTAAAGCATAGTGATTAATCACAAAAACAATATGTAATTATTAGGCGACCCCTGTGAAAGGGTCGTTCAGCCCCCAAAGGGGTCGCGACCCACAGGTTGAGAACTGCTGCTCTAGTTGTTTAAAGTTGTCTATACCCTTCTCTTTACAATTGCAGAGACAGAAATTTTTTTTTACTGGTGCTCAAAACAGTACCTGATACATTGTGGGTACTCAATAAATGTATGCTGCATTGATTTTGAGACGAGAACTGGAACAAATACTTCTTCAAATTATTACAAATTTAGCTGGTAATTTTTTTAAAAAAAATTAAATTTATTTAAGGATGGGGGTTGGAGTATCCAAAGGAAGGGCTGCATAGCACCAAGCCAAGGGGACACTGGGTCAATGATGACAGCACCCAGGAGCCAGAGTTTCATCCTTATACGCAGTCACTGGCAGGAAACTTGTCATCAGTGGGTTTGGGGGCTGAGCTGGTGGGCTTGGAATGTGGATGGAATGCAGGTGTGCAATCAGTAGCCTTCAGAACAGTTTCCTTTCCTTGTATGGTCTGACTCCTGGTGTCTAGTGAGTTTTTCTTGGTCTTTTGTTCTCCTGTGGTCGGAAGCTTACAGATGGCTGCTAAGGATTGTATTGTACTATAGGCCTAATGTTTCCCTCCTCTTTCTGTTTGTTAATAATTATTCTTAATAAACAGTTATGCCACATGTCAGAAACCAATCACCTAGCACCTTAGCGTGTCCATTATTATAAGGGAGGGTGAAATTATCGGATACCCAAGGCTGAGGAAACCAGTTGAATGACTTGAGAGGTAAAAGCTGGTCCTGAGGCAGCCACAGCACCACGTGTCTGGTTTTGCTGCTTTTCTGGGCCGGAAGCTGAAATACAACTGAGGCCTAGATGTTTATCTTTAGGGAGGAAAAGGTCAGGGGGTATAAATTCCTGACTAAAGATGTGAAATATCTGGAGTCCAAATCACATGACCAGTGATATGCTAGGGGAAGATAGATTACCTTGGGGGCCAGGTTCTTGTTTTCCCAGTTTTGCCCCTTGCTAGGCATCTAGGGCTTTCTGCCCTAGTGAGTTTCTGTACCTAGTCCATTATTCTTGCTCTGGGTTCTGTCTAACACTCCCCCCTCACCCCCTCAAGGACCTTGGCACTGAATTCTTTCAGAGAAAAGAGGGTGTAAGGTCTCTTCTATAGCTGCTTCCTGCTGAAAGGGGCAACATTTTTCTTCAGAGCCAAAAATCCTTGCTCTCTGTTAGGGACAGTAAGGCCTGGCCACAAAAGGAGGTTGTGATGGTGTTGAGGAGTGGTATTTCCTGAGTACAAGCAGGGATTGTAACCTGATGGAGACAAACTGTGCTACAAATCTTACTGTTATTGGGACAAAAGCTAGAACAGCAAGAATTATGACAAATGATCTGATGGAAGGAAAGAAAGAATAGTTTGGAGGGTTGTAGCCAAATATTTTAGATTAATTTAGGATCCAATTCAAATCATAAATGAAAAATAAAGCTGTGAGTCTAATATTCATAACTGTGTATTATAAAGTCTATGTAAACATAATTCCCCCTCCCTAAAATCACCCTCATTTTTTAAAAAATATATTTTATTGATTTTTTTTACAGAGAGGAAGGGAGAAGGAGAGGGATAGAGAGTTAGAAACATCGATGAGAGAGAAACATCGATTCAGCTGCTTCCTGCACACTCCCTACTGGGGATGTGCCCGCAACCAAGGTACATGCCCTTGACCAGAATCGAACCTGGGACCCTTCAGTCCGCAGGCCGACGCTCTATCCACTGAGCCAAACCAGTCATGGCCACCCTCATTTTTATTAAAGAGCCAAATTAAGACCAATATATTTACTGTATTACGTTAAGTTTCAATTTGGTCTGATTGTTTGCATGAACACAATA